ATATATATATATATATATATATATATATATATATATATGACTTGGATGGCTTCATAGTAAAGCAATACACTTCAAGTCAGGAATTAACCCTGAAATTCAAATAGAAGCTCTTCTTTCACACTCACTAGCTTGTTTATTACACTAGAATGCAAGTTCTATAAGGCTCTACCATTACTTTGTTTTCCACATTAGTAACTGACATATTTTATGAATGTATGTTTACAAAGTAGTTTGGTTTTTAAAGTAATAGCTCACAATTGGAATGAATATTGCTCATTTAATATATAAAGTAGTACATAACAATAGCTCCATGTTACTTGGAGTCTTTGAAAGGATGAAGGTGAATGTAGAAAATTGTTTTCTTTTGACAAGATATTTTTCCACCTACCCTCATCAAATGCTATTACAATTATCATTATAATTCTTTAATTCCACACCTGAGAAAAAATGTATGTATCAATTATTTTAAATAGGTAAATTTAATACAAGATATTAACAAATTAACAACATGCAAATGTACATAATAGACATTGATTATAAAGTAAATCATTTTCAAGTAATCCTTGAAACAATTACTTATAAAAGTAACTTTTGGGGGCACTCCCTGGTGGCACAATGGATTAAAGCACAGACTATGATGCTAGACACAGCCACATCATGAGTTGGATCCCCAGCCCAGGAGATGACGAACATGGTACGGCAAACCTCTCCTGACCCACCCGCTGCTCCCCTCAGCAGTGTACTTCGTCAATCTGCCTTTCTGCACCCCACTCTGTCTCTGGTGAATCCTCTCACCGTCCCTGCACCTCCGATCTGTACCCCAGTTCTGTATGCATAAGTAAATAGATCTTTAAAAAAAAAAGTAACTTTTGTCAGGTACAATGTAACTCTCATTTTCACTGTTTTCTCAGGGATTTTTTTCCTTTAAATAAATCCTAACAGGTTTAAGTTATTTCCCATATTCAGTCATCAGCCTAATTAAAACATTTTTAAAATTTCTTTATACACAGAACAGAACAAAAGTCATTGTATTAATTTATATTAGGAAAAGAGAAAGTACTACTGTAAGATTCTTCTTTAAAACTGTGGTAGTACTTTTTTACTAACTAAACATATGAAATATTTTTCTTAAAGCTGGCATATCATATTCATTCTACATTTGTAAGTATAGTATCAGCAGTTCAATTAATGAACCACAAAAGCAGAAAGAGACAAGGAACTCAATAAGATAGTTAAGATGTGCAAATAGCTAAAATATGAAGAGTTAGTCAATGTCAGTAGATACTGTGATAATATTTAAACTATAAAATGTAATTTCATAACTCTCAGATTGGGAACAAATTTTAAGCATTAACTTCCTTGTTCTGTGGGTGAAAGTTTAAAAAGATAAAACATCTTTGGAAGAGAATCTGATCAAATAATAAGAATTATACACTTGTATAATCCTTTTTTCATCATTTTGTGACTTTTTCCATCTCAGTTGTAATCCGCTCAATTGTAATTCCCTACAGAATTAATTACATAAAGATACAGGATGTTTGCCCAAGGATATTCATAAAGATGAAAACTTGCAGTCAGCATGGCAGGACTTCCTGTTCCACTGAGACTATATAAAAATGGAACAAGCACTGCTCCCACCCTTAGAGCAACAAGACCTCAATTACCTGCACAATCACAACTTTTCTTGGATTGTAAAAAAGCTGAGGTTGCAGAGTAGCTAATTTAATTAGAAAACTGAAGAAATACAGATGTCTCTAAGAAGAGATGTAGTGAGATGGCCCTCTAGCCCAAGGGAGACACCTGATGTTAGAATATTTATTGAGAATTTAGATAAAAACTTTTAATGTATCAACCATTAGGAAAAATCACTTGTCAAACCAGCCACTACCTTAAACACAAGGTAAAGTTAAAGGAAGCTAACGAGTAGCCATGGAAACAACAAACCCAACTCTTAACTAGATTGATCCAACCCCCCTCATTGAACATCTAGCAAAAGACCAGGTGTGCATATTCCTGGACATAAAACGTATTTATCTCTGTCTCAATGGCTCTTCATTAGATGCTCACATTGAAACCAAAAATTATGAGCTAAAGAAGATAGCAAGGAAAAACAAAACTATCTGAGAAACACTCAACATGACCAGATTTCAATATAACTCAGATGTTGAAACTATCAGACAGAGATCTTAAAGTAATTTGGATTAATGAGTTGAAGATTTGGAGGGAAAGGTAGACAACATGTATGAACAGATGGGAAATTTCAACATAAAAGTGAAAATATTTTTAAAAGGATCTAATGGAAGTGCTAGAAATGAAGAGAAATCATTTTGATAAATTAATCAGTATACCCAATAAAACAGAAATTAGTGAATATTTAAAAAAGTTCATTGAGGCCTTCCCTGGTGGCTCAGCGGATTTTTTAAAGCACAGCACTGAGAATCTAAAGCCACTTCCGCATGAGTTCAATTCCTGCCTGTCCCGGAGGTGACCACATGGTGTGGCAGACCTCTCCTGACCAACCCGCTGCTCCCCTCAGCAGTGTACTTCGTCGATCTGTCTGTTCTGTTCTCCACTCTGTCTCTGGTGAAGCCTCTCACCGCCCCTGAACCTCTGGCCTGTACCCCAGTTCTGTATGCACAAATAAATAAATCTTTAAAAAAAAAAAAGTCCATTAAATTTATCCATAATAAGCAAGTGATATGCCAATAATCCTCAACTAATAATATAAATGTGTTCACATGTATAAGTTTATTCAACTATCTTTATTCTTTCAGTCTACTCAGGAAATTTAATAAAAAATGCATTACAGTTTTAATAAACCTAATGTTATGCCTGATATAACAGTAGGTACTCAATAAAGTTTACTGAGGGAGTTATCACTCTTTGTCAATTCATCAATTTAGTCATTAATACAAAAAGAGATATAAAATGGTAACCACTTACTATAATCTATGTTAAATTGAGCCATTCCAGAACCAGGATAGTAGGAACCCTTCTCCACATTGACAAAACAATGCTTATTCTGTTTTTCTTGAATAATTTCCTTTACTCCTGAAGCTCCTTGATTCATCAAATTCCAGCCTCGTATACATCCATCTAGACGAGGATTAAGCTAACAAATGAAAATATAGGTTAAAGAGCATATTTTACAATGAAACTCTTTAGACTGATAAATGTTTTGTTGATATAAATTTTCACTAAGAAGGAAAACTACAGTGACATTTCAAAATATTAAATATTTTAAATTTTACCTAAATGTTACTCTTCAAGTTATCCTTCAGATGGCAGTGAAAGAATTTATATTACCCAAGGCATCTACTAGGATTCTAATAATAATTTTTGATATATCAGACCCCATCTGTCTCTCCTCTATCATCCAGTAGTAACTTTTCTGCCCTCAAATATTATGCTTGTAGATGTGGCCCTAAGTTTTAAGTTGCTTTCTATTTTACTTTAATTGCAATTAAAACATAGATTTGTGTTCTGTCAGACACTAATCTTCTTGAGGAACAAAGGTGTTACATTCTTTAGTTTCCATCAAAATATTCAGCCAGTCTGAAGACATATAGTAGCTATTTCAAAAATAATTGACTTTTTGGTATAGTTTATTTTATCTTTAAAATATCTTGATCTAGTTCATGGGACAGGTATATTCACTCCCATATGAGTTATATGTTATAACTCAGGTTTTATAACATATTGCAGAAATAATTTAAAAAGTGAAGTTAACTGTGAATCACCATGAGTGATAAATGGGTATAGAATAGCAAATGTTTAAACTAAATCAGAGAGTATATTTGACAGGCCCATAACTTCAAATGAAGATTTTGAAACTCTTCTTGGACGGTGGTTAGCCTTCTCCATGAAACCTATTCCATAGCTATTAGGGGAAAAAATCATATTCAGAAATCATCTGTTATATCTAATTTCAATTTATGACAAGTTACATGGAGATTTTTGTTCAAGTTCCACATTATTTGGAAACTCCTAAATTGTAGTTCTAAAAGAGACCAAAGAAAGTTCTTTGATTTCCATAAAAAATGTGTTTTAGACACTGATTAAAAAAGATACCTGTACCCCCCCCCATTTTATTGCTGCTTTATTTACAATTGGAAAAACATGGAAGCAGCCCAAATGCCCAAAAGTAGATGACTGGATTAAAAAGATGTGGTACATACATACAATCGAATAT